AGCCCCCCCCCCCCCCAACACCACCACTTTGCGTGGGGTTCGGGGCCCACTGAAGGGCTCCGAAAAAATTTGGTATTTTAGAGGGCGAACGGTGCCATTCGGTAGGGTTTAGAACTATGATTCAGCTAGTCAGAATTTTACGTTCAAGAGGGGACCACAAGTCGAAAGGGGAGGGAGGGTCAGGACCCCCTGACTCCCCTCTTAATCCGCCACTGCTGTGGTCAAAGAGTACCTAGGTTTTACCATGGGAGAAGAACCAGAAAGGAATAGTAACGGGTAGGGGCGTGACGATTTCCATCAATATCATTGATCCTTATCAATAGGGAGCTGTTAACAAAAGTACCCTTTGTGTGTTAAAGCCACGTGGTTTAACAGAGACGGAATAAAGTCGATCACAGAATACCTGACAAGAACACATGAAGTCGCCTCCTTGATACGTAATAATAAGTTTTTTGCAAATTTACAAGTTTTTATCAAAATTGTGAGTGTGACACGCTTTATTGAATAAAAATATAACAAGCTTACTACCTCCGCGAAGGAGGTTATGTTTTCACCACTGATTGTCTGTTTGTTTGTCTGTCTGTCTGTCTGTCATCAACATAACTCAAAAAGTTATGGACCGATTTTTATGAAATTTTCAGGAACTGTCAGAAGTGGGCCAAGGAACAGATGATTAGTTTTTGGGTGATCCGGATCAATAATCAATCAATAATCAAAAATAATCAAAAATTGCTGCCTTGGCGGAGGTCTCGTTACTTCTGTTGTTCTTTTGTGCGATTAGGTTGGCAAAATTGGTAAAATATGGTGATGAATAATTAAGACAGGGTTTTTGAGTTAACGATTCTTTTTACGACGGACACATGCATGAGTGTTTGCTTTTTATTTTAACTCAGTTAAGTGTATCGAAGTAGGCTTTGTAAGTTGTTTTGATTGTTACGAAGCTTTGGTATTTCTATCCCATTTATGCCAACTCTTATAAACACGTTTTCAATATATTTTACATTGAAAATTGTGAGTTGACAGCTGATGTTTCACAAAAAAAACTAGTCTAAAATTGTGCACGAATGTATAAAAGAACTCCAGTGTAATAGGTGGCCTCGGTTTTATTTACTTTTTTATCGTGACACTTGAGCTGGCTTATGTTCAGAAAGTTGAAACTCTCCCTGTGAAAGAAAGACGCCCTTATCCACAGCGTTTTCTATTTCTACAGAATCATTAAACTCATTCGCACCGTCCTCAATCTCTGATGAATCGTCGTTACTCTCAACTATATCATTCGTGGTACCCGGTAGATAACTATACCGGAAAAAAGTTTTAACTGGATAACTTCATATTGGCGTTAGCTGACTGTGATATGAAATTATGCTATATTTATTTTCACGGGCAGATTGTCTTAATACAACCCAGAAAGTGCTGCCACAGGGTGGCAACGGTGGGTCCTATACTGACCTTTCTCTTTGCCAAAGTCTCAGCAGACCATTTCTCTTCGGCTGCTAGTTTGTCCGAAAAAATAATTCAAAATGTGACAGGTTCAAGCCCAATATATCCGTTTCCCCCCATTTCTTCCGTTACTCAGGTGTAACGGTAGGAATGAAGAATAAGCGACTCATTACTCACACGGCAAGAGACTCAAAACTCGTTCCGTTTAGTCATTAAGTATCTTGACTCTATTGGTCATTTCGTGCTTCTTCAATACGTTGTCCATCTTTCCATCATACAGTCCAAAGACACCACCTGTAAAGTAATATATTAATTATTCTCAAAATCAAAGTGCACTGTCATATTCCTCGAAGCTTTTGCTATGTTTACAACATGAAGGACTTTTCATTAAATCCCCAACATAGCCGACAGTTTTTCATGTTGTTAGGATAGAAATTAGAAAAGAGAACAGCACTTTCTTTCAGATCCTAGATCAGTTTGATGAAAAAACAAACCTGTGTGCAAAAATAATACCCTTCTACCCTTGAACCTATCAGGGTGGTTGTTCATTTCTTGAACCAGGAACTTCACAGCTTTGCCAGTGTAGGTTGGATCGACAATGACGCCCGTATCAATGCTCACTTGAATGAAGTAATCTAATGAAAAGAAAAAAGCATAATATCATTATATCAAAAACAACAACCAAAATGGCCAAATCAGCCCAGAAGATGCGCCCTTACTTCGATTTATTCCCCGACGTATTTCTGAAGTAACATTTAAGTAACTAGGGAAGACCGGGGGTTGTTGGCCCAGTTGAACGCATTTGGCCTTGTAGAGCCAATTGGGAATGAGTTAATGCCAGGTGGCCTTTATGTATCATTAGTCCTAACGAACTCCTCATGAACTATAGAACGTACTTATGACATCATTGCATCTTATCAAGTCAAATTGACTTCCACTATTGCAAGTTATGAGATAATAAGCGCTGGATATTGAATACTCTGTTATTGTTAGTGTTACCGAAACAATTTTTAAATTGTTTAAAAAAACAAATCAATGTCCATCTCTTACCTAAATCTTCCTGTGTGTACAGCCCATAGCCTTGGTTTTCAGGACTTTCAATCATGTCAACCATGTCCTCTGAGCGTACTTCAGTCAGCCCAACATCGTGTAACATCTGGTTAACAGCGGCTTTACAAAACTCGGCATCTGAACCCACGAACAGAGCATGGATTCTGAATATAAAACAGTGTAATATGTAAAGCAAGGAAACAAGGTTCTCCCGCATGAGATCTCTGCTGCAAAAACTGGGCAATTATTGAAATAAAGCGTCTAGAATCGATGAAATGACTTATATTGCCGTTGGAACATAAAAAACGCCGAATTTATCAAGTACAGTGGTATATATATATATATATATATATATATATATATATATATATATTTCCTGCTACAAATTCACCAGCTAGGCCTATACATGTATCTCTAGTAAAATTTCTCAATAATCTTGTGCACGATGCAACCATATTGCAAGACAAATGAGTATGGCTAGTGTGGAAACTGAACCTAAACCAAGAACCGGTAAACTGCAGATGGTGAATTCAAATAAAGACCGCATTTTAAATTTCTAACATACTTGAGCTTGGACCCGTTCAGGTAGTTGCCTACAGCAAGCCCTGCAGCGGTAGCCCCACTTCCACAGGCAAAGGCTATGTCATCAAAGTTTTCTAGAATACCCTGAGAGAAAAGGATATCAGTGCTGGGATCTGTATATATTATAAACACACAAATGCATGAACCCTCTTTGCCTATTTTCCCATCGAGCGATTTAGTCTGCACCTGTACATTGTGTTATTTGATTGGCTGCGTCGAGTCCTGCCACCCGATGAAGATAGGCTATTGTGAAGAGGTTAGTGTCAAGTTATCTCTGGAGCTCAGGGTGAGTCCTGCCGATGTCTCCAAGCATTCCGGTGGGGCCTGTATCGCTTCAAGTATAGCCTCAATGTGAAAAGTGCCCTAATTTTCAATTAAATTGCCATATTCTATATTTAAGCTTGTTAGTTAAATATGACCACGAAGACGATGAATTCCAAAATTATTAGGTGAGTTTTCCACAGAAAAAGCAATGGTAGTGCGACTAAGGAGTTAAGATATGGGAATGGAAAAACTGGTTTTTCAATCAACAAACTATTGACGTATTGCATAAAAAAGTCAATATCACGATTTGTTAAAAAGTTAATATTGTGTCATATTACTTTATTGAATTTTGTTTTTAGGTCATATACCTGCGAAATCATTTCGTGAAATACTGTTATGTAGCCAAAAAGTCCAACCGAATTACTCCCACCAAGAGGAATGAGGTACGAGTCTTCTCCACTTGTCTCCCTATAAATAAAACGGCGAAAAAACACGTAATTACTGTCGATGAAGATAATGCATTATGTGCTTAAATGTTTTTAACTGTATTCAACAACAGTAGGTATGAGCACACCGGAAATCTATAATTTACAAGGGGTTTTCTCTAGCTGTCAGTATTCAGGATTCAGTTATGTTTTAATGTTAAAAACACAATTGAACCGAGCGTTGATGGAGCGTGAATTCCCAGTAACGCATATAAACCACTTTTATTAGTTTCTCATACAACTCAAATAAGGTGAAGTGCCCATGGATAAACCGAATTAATCACTCGATGTGCCATAAAAGAGTTTTTGGTCGTAAATTTGACCTACTTATCTGACGTACTGTACTTTTCTCCCCCTCCCCCCTTTATTTAAAGCACAGAGAGCAAGCAGAAATCCATACAAATATCATTTTTCGGGTAATATAAAACTATGTATTTTTGCATTTCTCTACGTTACACTATTTCAAAGTATATGGTGGCATTTGGTTGGTTTTTGTGGCAAAACAAAATTGACTCCAAATGCATCTTTAACCAATTTTAATAAAATCGCATTGTTGGCTATAGAATTAAATTGCCCATTCGTTACGTCTTGTTGTCATAAATATCTAGTTTATTTCCTTTTTTCATTTATGAAAAAAATCAATCAATGAAATTATTTTCCTTACTTAATTCCTCTAGCAATATTTATCATACTTGGTTTGAGATGAGACTCGTAAGTACCTTCCCAAGGCACGATGTAGATTTGGGCACCACACATTCTGTCAAGAAGCAGGTTGCCATTACAAGGAACGTCTTCAGAATTCTAGAATAAAAATATGTTTGTTTGCAGCCTAATTTTCCATCCCTACTTATCGAATATCTGAGTACTAAGTCCGACTTTTCTCCATATTAACATACGCCCGCCGCCTTCACATTTTGGGCAGGAACGCGTTCCCGTTGACTGGTTGAATTAGCACAGGGTGCGATACAACATTTTCGTAATAGACTACTAGCGCACCTGTGGTCAGAGAGTAGTATACTATCAGCATATAGATCTGACACCTATGAAGCCAAGGGTGGCTATGCTCTCTGTGTAGCATCAGGAACATGAACAAATAGGGGAACTAAATTCATCCAGATTGCACTCAGATACTACAGATCTCAATTTATCGCGAGTGTTGGTTTGATCAATTATTAAACATTGATACGTTTACTTGCTGAAGCTTAAAAATTGGTAAAAACTACTAAGTGATAATGGCACTATGGTATACATATATGACAAACCGTAACAAATACATGTAGGTTTATTAAGTTACTCTGTACTGATGTCCGCTATGAGTTGCAATGTCGTTTTTGTTCCAGCAGATTCCCCTTCCGCTATTATTATCCATGGCCCACAGAAGCCTTTGCGTGCCTATTTCAAATGGTCCCAAACATGAGGACACGACGTGCACCATGTAATGTCAATTTCACAATTTATTAGGTCTCATAGATGCGAAATTGACACCATCCATGACCATCCATTCTGCATTCCTCTTTTTTGTGGTGTTTTGAAACACGAAATCGACTATTTCGTCAATAACTGACCCCCACATATGCGAGATTGGTGCAGGCCATGCCGCGTTCGTCTAAAATTGTGGTATTTTGAGCTCAGAACGACCAATTTATACACACGACAATGAGATGTCCGTGTCTATTTCGTAATTTACTAGGTTTTAAATATATGAACCTTTTTCGTCTTTTACTGTGGAATTTTTAGCATAGAATAACTATATTATAAAACACGAAATAGATATAGCTCATGTCGCTCACTAAATACCCCCGTACCTCAGTTAACTATTTTCTAATGTCTTCATGGGATCAACTCTCCTCCTCCACTAAATCTTTACCTTCAATCTCATCTGTCAAGAACTCGATAAAATCACCTCACTGCTGGGTCGCTTTCAACAACAACACTAAACTTGGACAGAAATCAAGAAAAAATTCTTAACAGAACGAGGGTCGGGTGTTTATTTAGAGCAGAATTGTTTAGGCATAACTGGACTACTATTGACACACCACACTGCACCTGTGGTGCCCTTGAAACTCCTCTACACTTCTTTTTCAGATGCCCCTCACTCAATTTAAGGTACCCTCCCCTTTACCAAAAAGTAAATGAAATTCTACATGAAAGTAAGACCTCTTTTAAAACAAAAAGAAAAGCTGTCCCTATTTCTCTACGGTCATGGATCTTTATCACCCACCCAAAATGAAATTATCTTTGAAACTGTTGCAAATTTTCTTCTCGAAAACTTTGTCATCACTTAATAGGTACTATCTCTTTTCTTCTCCTTTCTTTCTGTACTTAATTTGTGCTCCATAATATTTGAAGTTTTACATTTACTCTGTTGTATATATGTATCCATTTGTTTTATTTATTTACTTATTTAATTTTGTGAAGAGCATATAATGCTTCCAGCGCCTTGCCTCCATTTCTTTCTTTTGAATAAACGTTGTTTAAAAAAAATGTCGCTCACTAGGAAAAACCCATCTCCATATGTAGACGAACGCGATATGTACTTTTGGACACAGGTCTTGGAGGATCGATCTATTAACCTAAAGAGGTCATATTACTTTTCTACTGAATGTAAGACATGTATGCCAAAACCCACTAAGCTGAGACACACTGTTTATTATTATTATTATTATTTATTTATTTATTTATTTATTTATTTTTTATATCTAAGAGCAACTTTGCTTGCGTACCGATTCCACACTTCTAGCATTACTAACCTTCAGTTTGGATCGAACCACTAGATGACTTTTCAATCCCATTTGAGCTGACGCCACCGCTGTGGCTCTACAATGATTAGACTGCATTCCAGCACACGTAATTATGTGCTTGCAACCCTTGTCCAAAGCATCTGCCAACAAAAACTCTAACTTTCGAACCTAGAAAAGAAACAATAACATTTTCTGTACACAGAAATATGCCTGAATAAGCCAAAATGAAATAACAAAGCCTAAGTTAAACAAGAGGCCCTATTTGATAATATCTGCAGCCCTGTAAGACGACAAGTTGTCATAAAAACATTTTGAGGACTAATGTAACCTTGTGGAAAAAATATTCCCTGTTAAACTCCCTCCAATTTCAAATATACTGACAACGTTAGAAGGGCTGCAGAAAAATNTTTATTTATTTATTTATTTATGTATTTTTTATATCTAAGAGCAACTTTGCTTGCGTACCGATTCCACACTTCTAGCATTACTAACCTTCAGTTTGGATCGAACCACTAGATGACTTTTCAATCCCATTTGAGCTGACGCCACCGCTGTGGCTCTACAATGATTAGACTGCATTCCAGCACACGTAATTATGTGCTTGCAACCCTTGTCCAAAGCATCTGCCAACAAAAACTCTAACTTTCGAACCTAGAAAAGAAACAATAACATTTTCTGTACACAGAAATATGCCTGAATAAGCCAAAATGAAATAACAAAGCCTAAGTTAAAAAAGAGGCCCTTTTTGCTAATATCTGCAGCCCTGTAAGACGACAAGTTGTCATAAAAACATTTTGAGGACTAATGTAACCTTGTGGAAAAAATATTCCCTGTTAAACTCCCTCCAATTTCAAATATACTGACAACGTTAGAAGGGCTGCAGAAAAATCTATTATATGCATGGGTAGAGAAAAAACAAGGTTTGGTTTATAAATTGAAGTGGGGCAAAAATCTAGGTATATAGATTTAAGTAGTGAGGTTTTAACCATATTTGTCTTGTGAAATCCACATAAAAATTTTTAATTTTCAAAATTATTAAAATATAATGACCGAGAACTTACCTTGTTTCCAGTAAGCGTACTGCCAGTTAGGTCGTCTCGCTTTACGTGAAGTGTGAACGGAGCCTTTACACCAGGGACTTTCCACTCATGAATCGGTGTCTCTGCGTGAACTAACTGATATTAAAAAGGATAAATAAGCGTTAACAACCGTGAATAATTCCTGAATTATGCAAAAGTCCGTTAAGTATAACTTTCGACTAATATAAAATTATCGTGCTCTATTGTTAGTTTGGGTGATTTACATTCAGGCTTGGCAACTCCAATGCCGTACCGAAAAAAAAAAAAAAAAAAAAAAAAACTCAAGACTTTAAAATAAAAGGTGATTCCAGATTGTTCACAATTGACATTACCGGCCAGCACGGGCTATTGGCCTGAGCGGCCTGCAAACTTGTTTCCAGCGATTATGTGGATTTTTCACACAAATTTATCGGTATGAGGAATGAGAATATCCTTTATAGATGGCTTTACCTCCGTATAGTAATAATCTCTTAACAGATTATTACAAAAAAAAAAAAAAAAAAAAAAAAAAGGACTGATTTTGAATGACGGAATGGATTTATTAACAATTGGTAAGTATGGGATATGGTTGTTTACCCAGGAAAATCTGTTTTTATCTCCTTAAGGTCAAACGGTGACGTCGATGACGAGGAGGGTACTAGCCTGTATTGCAGCCATGGGAGGGCAAACATACGGTACATGTTACTGAACAACATACTGCCATTTATGCAACACTGTTGTATGAAAAAGTATATTAAAACCATTGAAAAAACTTGCGTTTCCTATTTTGGCTAGTAGGCCTAAATATTGTGCAACTATGACCCATATCTTTCCCAAAAGTATAGTAGGCAGGGAAGCTAGGCGACCTGAAACGGGTGACTATACTGACAGTCAAAGAAAACGCATCATTTATTCATCAAATGATATTTTAAGTTCCTTTGGCACATTAAGAAAATCACAGTTTTCATGTGAAATACGACCCATTATTCAGTCACTCAAGGTGAAATAAAGGTCAGAAAAGATCATTATAAAAAAAAAGATCATTAAAATGCAAGGTCACGTGATCAAATCTCTTTGGTTCTCCAGATCCCGCAGTCGCTATTCCAGTGTCAGAGGTGGCATCACAGAACTTTTTTTGTCATGTGTCATACTGGATTTGGTGACTACCTTAAAAAGGCTTAATTAATCACCATATATTGAACCTGATTAATTCACAGCAATCAGGAAAAACACATGATTTTGTAACAGCTGATCACAAAATCACTGAAGCGGAAATTTTAAACATCCGAGTGGTCAGCCCACTCTCTTATGACCAAACAAGTGCCTCTGTACTCGTTTATATGGTTGGAATCTATTCTCGGTAAAAGTACAAGAGTACAAAAGTACAAGAAAGTTTTCTGGTGCGTTTTCATTGACTGTCAGTATACTAGCCTCTGTTACATCCCAGACAGCCTCAGTAATCTGGCCC